TACATCGGAAGTGATGCGTGGGCCGCAGCTGGAGAGCTTTCCAAGCTGCTTGCGGACGACCCGTCGATCGCCGTGGCCCGCGTCGTGTCGACCAGCCAGGCCGCGTGGGCCAGCGCGTCTCGCACGTGGTCCCCTGAGATGGGAAATGCTTTGGCACCAGCTGGTGACATCGACGCTGCGGTCAGCGCTGTATTGGACCATGTGTGGATCAGCGTAGAGGGGTTGCAGCCCTCGATCGTGCGCCGCGCGTTGAACCAGTTCCTGGAGTGCGTCAAGGCTGACAGCGAGTGCCTATCCGACTTGGCCAAAGTCCATCCAGTGTTTGCGGCGCCCCTGACGCATTTCAAGTCATGCGCCGACGCGGTCATCTATTTGAACTTTCGCTCCCGGTTCGCTGGGTCGTTGATCGACGAGGCTTGCAACGTGCTGCAGGAGGTGATCACGAAGAAGGTAGGCACGGCTAGCATGCTGGAGAGCACGTCGGCCTACCTGAAGAGCGGGGCCCGTTTCGTCCTCGCCGACGCCGACAAGGTTTCGGTCTCGGATTTCCGTCTTGCAGACAGCTCCAATTGGAAGATGTTGTGGGCGAAACTGCTGAAGAAGGGCGCCGAGTCGAACCCGGAAGAGGCCGCGAGACATCACCCCAACTTGCCCAACTTGGAGGCAATGCGTGTGAAAGATCTGAAGGCGCTGGCCTCGCACGTCGGCGTCACCTTTGAGAGCAACGTCAAGAAGGCAGATCTCATCAAGGCCATCGCCGACAAACAGGCGGCGAGCGTCGACGAGGAGGCGCCGCAGGGCGATGACTGGTGGGGGACGCTGGACGGCGAGCTCAACGAGGGCGCAGATATCATCCAACAGGCGTTGGCGGAGGCAGACGAGACGAAGCTGGAGATTGGCGCGCGGCATTCGACCCCGGCGGGTCCGACCGCGAGCGCTCCGAGGGCTCTTGCGTCCACGAAGTTCGCGCTGAGGGCGACCATCGGCATGATTACTGACATCGAGGGCCACCGAGAGGCGGCGCCGGAGTGCATGTCTCTCAAGGCCGACTCGAACAACAACACGCAGATCGCGAGGCCTGCGAAAATATGGGGGCCCATGAAGAGCGACCTCAGCGAACCGTTCCTGAACAAGCTGTTGGGTTGTCGTCTGTTCATGCGCGGCCGCGTCGCCATCGTCCCTGCAAGAACTACCGCGGGCCTCGCGAAGTCCTACGTGGCAAAGGAGTTCGAGTCCTCCGGCTCCAAGATGGTCGCGACGCCCCTGGTGCCGAACCAGGGCGCGGGCTGGTCCGTGAGGGCGGCCCCCTCCGCCGGTGGCCCTGATTGCACGCCGACCATGATCATCGACAGCGAATCAAACAAGGAGATAATCGCCAAGGGCCCTGATGGCCAGGACTGCGCCTTCAAGGTCATGACGCTGATGCCGAATCCGGCCTGGATTGAGATCTTGAAGAAGCGGATGACAGACCAGGAGATCTCCGACGCCACTCGGGATGTCATGAGCAGGTTGGCCTTTCCAGAGGAGCTGGAGGCGATTCAGCAGGCGACCTAGGCGACGGAGCGGGGGGGCGAGGGGAAGGGGGGCGGGGGGGAGGGGAAGGGGGAGGAGCGGGTTCCGTGAGTTGTTTTTCCTTTGAGCGGGCAGCTCTCTTTCGAGCAATCCAGCGCGTCGCGCGCTGGCGGAGGAGGGGGGGGAGCGGATCAGGAGAGGGGGCGAGGAGAGGAGGAGGAGGAGAGGAGGGAGGAGCGGAGGAAAGGGAGGAGCCCCAGGGAAGGGGAGGGCGCCCTTCCCTGCCCTTCCTTCCCGGGAAATCCCGGGAAACGACTCTCGCTGAGGCGCCGGCGACAAAATGCTGCTCTCGTTGAGGCGCCGGCCTCATTTCTGCTCCCGAATCGTTCCGAATCGTGCTCCCGCTGCAGCGTGGGCCTCATTGTCGGATCGATGTTTGGCCTCCGTCGTTCAGGATGGGGTTCTCGCCCCAGCGCGGGCCTTTTTCTCGCGCGCCCATCCGCCCGCCACCGCCGCGCCGCGCCGCCACCACCACCAACGCCACCACCACCGCCACCACCACCACCACTACAACCACCACCAGCACCAGCACCAGTACCAACACCACCGCCGCCGCCAGCACCACCACCAGCACCGCCAGCGCCACCACCGCCACCATCACCACCACCACCACCACCACCACTACCACCACCACCACCGCCACCACCGTGACAACCGCGCACGCACGCACGCACGCACGCACGTGCACCACCACCCACTACGCACGCGCGCGCGGAGCCACAGGTCCGCTACGACACGCGTCCGCGGATAGAGAAAATCAGCGCCGTGGTAAGGGATGGTAGGGGGGTAGGACGTCAGATATGACGCGAGCGCACCCAGCTTGCCCCCCTCCCCCCCCACCCCCCCCCTTCCTCCCCCCCCTCGCCGCCCCCTCCCGGCGGAGGCGCTGCAGGACAAGAAGGACTTGAGGGAAGCGAAGAAGAACGCCATGGCCATGGCCCTGGCGCGCGGCGAGGGCGGCGGGGAGGAGGGCGCTCCCCGCCCCTCCCCCTCCTCCTCCCCCCCCCTCCCCTCCTCCCCTCCGTCCTCCTCCTCCTCCTCCTCCTCCTCCTCCTCCTCCTCCTCCTCCTCCCTCCTCCTCCTCCTCCCCCTTCTCCCCCTCTCTCTCCCCCTTTGCAGAGTGCGGCGGAGGACTGCGCAATGGATCGCGGTGAACTGCGTCTCGTCTCAGATTCCTCGAGGGTCGAGGGTCAGACTGGCTCCAAGAGGGGCCCAAGAGGGCCCCAAGAGGCCCAAGAGGGCCCCAAGATGGCCTCAAGCAAGCCCGACGTCGTCGTCGTCATCGTCGTCGTCGTCGTCGTCGTCGTCGTAGACGTCGTCGTCATCGTCGTCGTCGTCGACGACGACGTCGACGTCGACATCGACGTCGTCGTCGTCGTCGTCGTCGTCGTCGTTCGTCGTCGTCGTCGTCGCCGGCCCGAGAGGACGAGAGCGGGGCGGCGGTCAAGGTCGACGAGTCGGCGAACCGGGCGTTCGCCGCGCACCTTCTGGAGAAGAGGGGCTGAGGGCGTGGTTCCTCCTCTGCTCGCCTCCCTCCTGCTCCTCCTCCATCCTCCCCCTCCTCCTCTTCCTCTTCCTCGGGCCGCCGGAGAGCCCGACCCTGACCCTCCCCGCTCCTCGGCGGCGCTCCTAGGGGCGGCCCGGGCGGGCGCGACGCCGCCACAGCTCTGGCCCTGAGGTTTGGGCCGAGAGCTGACGGGGCGCGCGGCATCGCGCTCGCCGCTCGCCCGACGGATTCGGAATTCGAGCGGACTGGCGAGAGGCTGGCCGCTGCGGCTGCCTCTGGACGCCCAGAACGACTGGCGGAGCGGACTGGCGAGAGGCTGGTCACCGTCGTCGTCGGTCGGTCGGTCGGTCGGTCGGTCAGTCAGTCAGTCAGTCAGTCAGTCGCTCGCTCGTCGCCGTCGTCGTCGTCGTCGTCGTCCTGGGGGAGGCGGAGGAGTGGAGGGTTTCGAGTATGATGCGTGGTGTGTGCGTGTGTATGACTGTGTGTGGCGTGTGTAGCGTGCACCGGAGGAGGAGATGGCGGATCCCTTCGCCCTCGAGCCCCTCGCCGCCGCCGCTGCCGTCGTCGTCGTCGTCGGTCATCGTCGTCGTCGTCGTCGTCGTCGTCGTCGTCGTCGTCGTCGTCGACGTCGACGTCGACGTCGACGTCGACGTCGACGTCGACGTCGACGTCGTCGTCGTCGTCGTCGTCGGCGTCGTCGTCGTCGTCGTCGTCGTCGTCGTCGTCCCCGTCGTGGTCCCCGTCGCGGTCCCCGTCGTCGTCGTCGTCGTGCCCGCCGCCGTCGTCGTCGTCGTCGTCGTCGTCGTCGTCGCCAGGAGCGCGTTCTGACCAGGATTTTGAGGCCGATCCCACTCGTGGCGACGAATAGGGGAGGGGCCCCAGACTCCCCTTGCCGCCGTCGCCGCCGTTCGTCGCCGTCGTTCGCCACCGTCGTCGCTCGCCGCTCGCCGCCGCCGCCGCCGACCGACATCCGTCTCGCGCGTCGCCGTCCTCTCCAGGAGTGCGTTCTGACCAAGATTTCGAAACCGATTCCCAGTCGTGGCGACGAAGGGCCCCCCCCCCCGAGGGGCCCCGGACTCCCCTTGCCGCCGTCGCCGCCGTCCGTCGCCATCGACGTCGTTCGCCGCCGTCGTCGCCGTCGTTCGCTGCCGCCGCCGCCGTCCGTCTCGCGCGTGAGCGCGCGGCGGCCCCGCCCCGCGCGCGGGGGGTCGTCGTCGTCGACGTCGTCGCCGTCGTCGTCGTCGCTGCCGCCGACGCCGCCGCGGGAAGGAGGCGGATGGGGGCGGTGTGATTTGGGGGAGAAGAAGAGGAAGGAGGGGGAAAGGACGAGATTCCAGGGCAGGGGCGGCCCGATCTGATGAGAGCGCGAAGCGGCGGCACCTTCCGCGGCCAATTTGTTTCACCCCCCCCGTATTGCGTGGGCAGATTGCGACGGGAGTTTTGACGTGGCGGGGCTAAAAGCAGGGAGTTGTTTTCGGTTTCCTGGAATTGTCCGTTTGTTTTTTTTTTTTTTTTTTTCTCTGCCGCTGCCGCCCCCGAGGGGGAAAAACGAAAAAACGGAGGATGAGGCGTTTTTTGTTTTTTAGGCCACGTTTCATGATGACACTTCCCTCCCTTGATGGACGTCCCCAGTTGTGCGCGCCCGCAGGGCTGGGCCAGGACAGGGGCCGATCCTGGGCCCACCCTGCGAGCTGACGTCGGGGAAGGCATGAGACCCCAATCACAAGTCACGGCTGGACCCTGGGACCCCGTATGCCCGCGGCACTTTTGGAGCCAGATCGGTCTGTGATGGCCCCGGGGCCCGGAATCTGGCGGACACGCCCGTGGGCAGAGATACCGCAGCGCCCTGGGCTCAGAGATGCCTGGGCCCAGGATCGGCCTCGCCAGGATCGGTGCAAATGTCAAGTTGGTGCCCTACGACATCGCCCGCTGCACCCGGCCCGCAACCGTCCATCGCCCCGCCCTGGCGCAGACCCGCCAGGCCGCGCCGCGCCTGAGCCAAAACGGCTACGGAAGCTCTTCTGCCGGGTCGCCGAGCTTCGTGCTCCGCGCTGCGCGCAATTCGAAGCGCGAGTAGATTCGCGCCCTCGCGCCGCCCCTTGGAGCGGCGGCGAGCGAAGGGCGAAAGTGAGATGGAGCGGGCCTCCTCAGAAGGCTCCGGAAAGGACTGGGCCTTTTGAGAACAAAAGCCTTTGCCGACGACGCAGAACACCTCTGAAGGCCGGAGGCCTTCTGAGAAGACCTCCGGAGATGCCCATCTGAGAAGCCTTCGGAGGGAGGGTGAGCGCGAAATCCTCGTCGACCGTGGTTTATTACCTAAGAATCAAGGACCTAAATCTAGTATAAGATCGGTGCCCCCCCCTCCCCGGATCACTGCCATTCCGGAAAAATGCATCTGGGGTCGATACTCAGACATAATGAACCAGGGTTGATCCCAATCCAAACTCCTTCTCAAGCGCCCCCCCTTCGCCGGATCACTATCATTCCGGAATCATGAATCTACTATTCCCAGAACATTACGATACCCCACTTTTGATGTTCTAGCGATAACGGAACAGGATCAATATTCCAACATAATGAATCCAAGTTTGGAGGCGCGGGGTTTGGGGAAAATGATAATGATAATCATTCTGCAATCATGAACACGGATTAAGAATATCGGCCTATGGCTCAGGCGAAACCCCTCAGCCTCCATTCTTAGTATTATTACTATTTTTATCTTCCCCATAAGGAAAAACCCGGGCTCAGTATTCCCGAGGCATTATTAGCCCCAGTCAATATTCCCAGAACATTGCGAAGCCAAATTCATATATGTTTTGGGTCGATATGTCTGGAACAGTATAAACCAAACTTTATACTGTTCTGGGGGGGAACATTATGAACCCCAATCAAGATGTCCCGGAGCATTCAAACCCAGATTCATAATGTTGCGCGGGGGGGCACTCTGAACCATGGTCGATCCTCTGGGAACATTATAAACCCAGGTTCATTTCTTTTTGGGGTTCGTCCTGTTCGGAGGCCTTTTCGGAAGCCACGCCGCCTTCTGAGGAGGTCTTCTCCTTCTCACTTCCCCCCTCGCTGGCCGCCAGGTGGAGAAGAGCACCTATCTGGCCCAGGCCGCGAAGCACGAAGAGCGGTCATCTTTGCGCCCCAGCGGGTGACCCAGTTCAGAGGGGAACTCGAAGCCCAATCTTCGGCGGCGAGAGGGGGGGGGGGGGGGGGGAAAAGCTGGAGGAGAAGGTCCTCTCGGGAGACGGCGGGGCTTCTGAGAAACCCTCGCGCCTTCTGACAAATGAACCGTGTCTCCACGGAAAGCTTAGAACACGGATCAAAGGCGGGGGGACTTCCGAGCCTTCTGAGAAGGCCTTCTCCCTCTCACTCCCCCCATGGGCTCGCCGCCGATCTTAGCATCTCTTCTGGGGGTTTCCTTGGGATTCACTGCCATCCTCGCGCAACGAAAAGCATTACGACGGGAGATGTTTTGCAATTTTCGGCATCCAGGGGTACTCACAAAGCCTGAGGACAATCTGAAACGCTCGGGATGAGAAGCTGGTCCTGAGGAAGAAGTCCAGACCTTGGGGGAGACACGTCGCAACAAAAACAAGTAAGTCAGATGTCTAGTTTCTGACCCTTCTAAGGTCCTGCTGCGCCCATGGCGGCGTCATGTACAAATTGTCCTGTTGGCCTTTCCACGACTTGACGCTCTGATAAAGCCCTCTTGGGCGCTTTGGCGACCTCATGGGGGCCTCTGGGCCCGTCGTGGACCCTTCTTGAGCACTTCTGGTGCCTATCCTATTGCAGCCTTGAAAGACTATCGGACGCCGAAAAGCAATACGGCCAACCTTGAAAACACAAGATTTGACACATGTTGGGACACTCGGGCCATCCTGGGTGGCCCGAGTGGCCTCCTCGGGCCGTCTTGAGGCTATCTGGAATACTCTTGGATGCCATACTGGACCGTCGCTTGCAGTGTTGGTGGCTATCGTGCAGGCCGTCTATCCATGTCTTGCCGTGCCAAGGCCAATACTGGGGCACGGGACAATGCCGCGGCCGAGGGACGGTTGGAAGGATTGATGTGTTATGTGGGGAAGTCCTCACCGTGGTCCCAGATTCAGCAGGCCGCGCTGGTAAGAAATGTGTCGCTGCATTTCTCTACGACCAGAGACGCCCAGCTGCAAAAGTCACAGTAAACACACAGTTGTTACCATTTTTGAGTCCCAGGATTGCCCATATGCCACCAATACTTTCCACTGCGAACCGCCCGAGAAGTCCCGAAGGCGCTGCCGAAGGGCCCTCAATCTTGCTCAAGCGAAGACGGCCCAGGAGGCCCGCAAACGGCGTGCAAGGATGTCCAGAACGCGCCGGAGACTCCCCAAGACTTTGGACGCCCGACATGGGTACGGAAAAAATGGGTACAATGGACAACGACAAGTGTTGCCCCAAACCAACAGCGGCCGCTGTTGGGCAGGCGGCTCTCAGATGAACACAGGCCGCGGCGGCGCGGACAGCGAGCCCTGTTCAACATGAACAAGAACTGCTGTTGGACATTGTGCCCATTCTTTCCGTAACCATGTGGTTCGTGCCGAAATGCGACCCGAACGACCACATCCAAGAGGCTCCCAGGACGGCCCAAGTGGCACCAACGACATCCGAAAGAGGCCTCGAAGCACCCCAAGAGGCACGAGCGAAGCGTCCAAGGTGGTCCAAGCAACTCAACTCCTGCACTGCCCAGTCATACCCCAGGGTGCCCCCCGAGAGAGGAGCGCACCTCCCAGAAAGGCCCCTCCCCAAAAAGCAGCATCCACCACCGCGCCTGCACGATATGGGCGTGTTAGAATGCCAGGTGCTTTGTCGGGTCTACCACCAGACAGGCGCATGCATGCACACACCCCAGGGGAGCCCAGAATCGAATCGACAAGTCGGATCGGCGATCGAAATGAATCGGATCGGCGGAAATCTGCAGCCGAGTCGGAAGAATTCGAATCGGCGGACATCGGCAGGCTGGTTAGGTCTCCATTGAGAAATCAGAACCCAAATCGGAATCCGAAGTCGAATCGAATCGGAATCGGAAGCCATCGAAATCGAATCGAATCGAATCGGAGGAATCGAAATGCCCCCTGTTTGTCGGGTCACCAGGATGGCTCAACATGCCTCGGCACCAGGCCAGTGTTGCCCCAAAGCGGCCGAGTATGGCCTCAAGACGGCCCAGGCTGCCTCCAAGAGGTATCAGGGGCCACAAGGGGCCTTCTGACAGGGCAAGAAGAAGCCACAAACCATAAGATTCGATTCCCCTCGGTTGTTTTGTTGATTATTTTCGCATTCTCGCCTATTGGGCTTCAACCAGCTCAGAACTGCCTAAAGAGTCCCCATGATGGCCCTAAGACAGCCCACGAGGCCTCCACGAGGGTCCAAAGATGGCACACGAGCCTCCAACGAAGGCGCAGAAGGCATCCAAGACGGCCCCAAAACTGCCCAAGAGGGCCTCCCGTCGGACCCAGGACGGCCTCTCATCACAGCGGTTCTCCCAAACCTGAAGACACGAGGTGTCACACGTGACACTCCCAGGGCCCTTCGAACTTTGGGTTGATACGATGGCGGGACTTGCTGCCTGCAGATGGACATGTGCCGACGAGGACTCCATGTAGTGCCACACCCCGATCGTTCTGACGTGATTTTTGTTGCCCGCTCCTCCCAAACACGAACTGCTCGCTCAATGTTGTTCAAACTTCGGTCATATCAGACCGGGTCATGTCACACAACACCGCACAAGGACCACGAGTCGCAGGCCCATTGGGCCAACGGCGTGTGAGATCCTGCAGGCATGTGTGAAATAAGCCAGGCAGCGTTGTTAAATCTCACAAGCCCTCTGGGCATAGGTGGTCTGACGAGTTCGTTCTTTCCTCTTCCACAATCCCTTTCTTCTCCTTTGGGGAATGGTTCGCCCCTCCCACTACCCCCCTGCTCAGAAACACCCAATGACGCCCCAAGAGGCCTCGGCGCGAAGGTTCAAATCAGTGATATTACAACGGTTTGGGCCACAATTTGGCCTCCTCGGGGGAGTCTTAATTGAGGAACTCTCCTCATTTGATCCATCTCCTCCAAAATGGCCCCCGAAGCTTCCAAAAGGTGCCCGGAGACGGCCCCAAGATGTGCCACGGAGGCCCCAAGAGGCGCCTAAAAAGTCCCCAAGGTGCCCCAAAGAGGCTCCCACGTGACCCTGTGGACGGGAGGGGGACGGAGGTGTCAGGGGGTCCGTTGTCGCCCAAGATGGCTTCAAGAAGGCCTGCGATGCTCCAAGATGGCTCCCGCATGACCCAAGGTAACCGAACACGGCGTAGTTCAATATATAGCTCCTGGCATACTTCTCACCCAGCATGGCCACAAGGGGACTCCAAGTGCTCCTGGAGCCACCCAAGGAGCCCCCAAGAGTCCAACAGCCTTCAAACATGTAAGGGCACGCATTGAACCTTGCCTTCACGGGGGCCTGAGGCCCCCCAATCGAGCCCGAATGGAGGCCTCTGGGGGGCCGCGGGAGAGCCCCAAGAGCACCCCAAAACGGCAACAATTATATCAGCTCTCATCGGCTGGTGGGGATACTTTTTGGTACGCGGGCGCGGGAAGACGAGTCGAACGCAAGCTACGGCGGGCCACTCCGAAACGAAAGAAAAAACAGGTAACCGAACGGCGCCCGGCACAGAGCGGAACTGGGCACGACGCAGCCAAAATGGCGCGGGAGGTATCACAAATCAGCACCGAGAACACGTCCACGAAGGTGCCGATTAGGACCCAGGCAATATTGGTGGGGATACCTTTTTTAGTCAACGGCCGCGGGCGGAAGCGCCGACGGCGTGTCAAATTGGTGGCGATACTTTTTTAAGTCGCGGGCGGACGCGGATTCGAAGTCGCCGAGCTGAGAGGTCCGGGCCACGGGCTTGTCAAATTGGCAACGCGCAAGCCTAAGAGCACAGCGGCCGAGCCCGGAATCAGAACCTACCGCTGGCGGGGCCGC